AGCTGGGACGGGACGGGGCGGGGAGGGGGGGTGCTCACCAGGCGGTCTGCGCAGGAGAAGTCTTTCTTTTTTCGCTCCGGGGCCCAGTTGGCGGTGCGTCCAGCTGCGTCTGGAAGGCACAGAGGACACACCAGCGGCCTCAGGGCCTGAGCCCCGCCCCACCATCAGCCCCGCCATCAGCCCCGCCATCAGCCCCGCGGGCCCCACTCCGCACCCCGGGCCTTACCTCCCACGAAGACGCTGTCCCCAATGGAGATGGGCACACCCTCGTTGGCCTGGGGGGTGGGGTGCGGGGGACAGACAACAGGCCTAAGGAGCCGCCCACACCTGGTCCCCCAGAGCAGCAAGGGCTGACTCCCCTGCTGGGCTCCCCTGACATGTTCTCTCTCGGCTGCCAGAGGGCGCCGGTCCCACTTCTGTTGACAACCCTCCCCCAGTGAAGTCTGGCCCAGAGGGTTCAAGGCGACCCCTGCCTGCTCCCTCCTGGCCCGCCCTCCCCTCGGCCGTAAGGGCCTCCTCACCGACTGTCCCTGAGCACCCGGGGCTCAGACTTCGCACTTGCTGGGACTCTGGTCTGGAAGATCTTCAGAACCTAGACGCCCCCTGGCTCCCTCCCTTGCCCTTTAGCCCTCGATCCAGTGGCACCGGACAGACCTCCACCCTGGCTTTGGCCTCGCTGCCTCCGCTGTTCTACCGTCCGCACCCTCCCTGGCACGGGGGCCAAGCTATGGGACATCAATGGGATGAACGGGTTGAGGACTGACCACCGCCCTGCTTCTCGGTTGAAGATCACTGGCCTTTTGTGCCAACATGAGACCACCAGAGCCAACACTGAGAAGGCGGGACAACGGGAGAGGAGAGGAGAGGGTGCCAGGGACCATGACCCAGAGGGCGGAGGCTGGTCAGGGAGTGGGGTTTGAGGGGAGAGGAGAGCGGTGGGGGGCGTGGCTCACCTGCTCCCGCAGATGGTCCCACATGCCAATCACTGGCTTCCGGTACAAGCCGGCGTGCGTGGCCACCAGCACCTGCGGACCAGGTGGGGTCAGACACCATTCCCCCGCCAGCACCCAAGTCCTTCCAGGACATTCAGGCCCGAGGAGGCTCCACCCTCCCTCACCAATCAGGAGCGCTCCCCCTGCCCCCAAACTTGCCACTTCTGATGGGTTCCTCTCCCCATAATCACACCCAGGACCCGGCCCCTCTCTGGGCTCTGTCCCCATGCAGCCTCCTGGCAGCTGTACCTGAAAGGGGACTCCCAGCTTTTCCAGCACAGCCTCCACCTTGGCCTTGAACTCCTCTGCGGACACCTTCCCACGCCCAATGCCCATCTGGTTGGTGAAGATCACCAGCTGGGGAGCAGATGCGTATGTCTCAGTGCCCTCACCATGCCCCAGCCTGCCCCACAGCTGGGGCCCACAGGTGCGCGCGCACACACACACACACACACACACACACACACACACACACCTTGTAGCCGTCGGCATCCAGCTCCCGGAGCTTACGTGGAATCTCTAGGTACAAGATCCTAGGGTGGGCAGGAAAGTGGCAAGGTGACCTGGGGCCCGGAGGGAGCCTCACTCACCCCCTTGTCCTGCTTATCACCTCCAGTCAGTGGGGCCGGTGGGAAAGACCTTCCCAGAGCGTGTGGTGATGAGGGTCCCGTCCAGATCAAAGCCGGCCACCTGGCATCACCAAGAAAAGAACAGTGACACCTCTGACCCCCATTCACGGGCTGGTGCACATCAACCCTGTGAGGCAGAGGCCGTGACCACTGTCACGGGGGGAAACTGAGTCAGGGAGCCTATACACCTTACGTAACGACAGGCACAGCGAGGAGGCATCCCCGATGCCTGATGCAGAGCCTGAAATCTTCCCTTTACTGCTCCTATTCTCCCTATACCCTCAGAATTCCCATCTTTACAACAGAGTTCATTTACTACCCTGACCGCCTCCACCTTGAAGGGCTAACAACCATGCAAAGGAGACAAAAGCTAAGGCTTAGGTGCTAACTGCACATCGGGCCCTGCCCCCTGGTTTTCATGGAATCCCCATTTTACTGGTGAGAAAAAAAGGGGGCTCAGAACATGGTGTAACAGCATATGGATTAGAATCTCTCTGGACCTAAGAAATACTCATCATAATAGCTCCTGCTAAAATAATCCCAATTGTTGCTATGGTTACAGGGTGGTTACCGGGGATCAGGCAGGAGCGGATATACATCGATTCCCTCAATGCTTACAACCCCTGAATTTATCAGGTCCATTTCTCAGAAAAGTGAAGGCTCAGAGAGGTTGAGTGACCTGCCCAGGGACACACAGCAAGCTTGGGGTTGCGTCCCCAGTAGTCGGTGGCTCCCTCAGGTCCCAGCTTGGCCCTCACCTTGCTCCGGGCCTTCACCCCAGGTGCGGTGAACACTAGCAGCTTCTCGAAGCTCTCCCAGCCAGGGGATGACTTCCGCATTCGCTTTTTCCGCTGTGCAACATCCTCTTCCTCTCCCTCCTTCTCCTCCTCCTCCTCCTCGGTTGGGGCCACCGGAGGGGTGCCGGGTGGAGTGTCTGGCTGGGACTCTGGCACGCGGGCCTCTTCCCAGCGCAGGGTCAGCGGGTAGAGGCCGTTGACCAAATACAGCGTGTCCCCCACCCCCAGAGAGCCCTCTGACCCCAGCTTCAGCTCCTGGGTCCCCGCAGTTGAGGGATTAACTCCCAGCTGCAAAGGAATAGGGAAGAGCTGGGACCGGCTCCACCCCCCCGCCCCCCATCAACCCAGGATAGGGCTTGCCTTTCTCTACATGCCAATCAGACCCCTAAGCCCTGCCTCTTCCCTGTGCACCACCAATCAGGGCTTTGGAAAAGTTGCAGGTGTACGGTGTTGTCCAATTGAGATGTAGAAGGCGGCTGCATTGAGGCAGGCAACACCTCGGGACTGCTTTACTGGGCACACCTGCTTCCCTTCCAGCCACAGGCTCCCGACCCCACCTCCAGACACTGCTGAGGAACTGGCACCTGTTTCACAGCCACGGTCCGCGTCTCGGGGTCTGCGACCAGCTCCACTGCGGGTGGAGAGGGTGGAGTCAGGCTGTGTATCCCAGCGGGATGACATCCCTCCTTACCCGGGAGCACGGCCGGCTTCCGGCCACAGGGCGGCGCTGCAGCACCCACTCAGGAGGAGGAGGAGGAGGCAGTTCATTTCTAAATGGGCTCGGCTCGCCCCTTGACATGCAGTAACCAGACAAGGGCCTTGGGATTGCCTGTGACGCTGGTCGTGGCCCAGGGGCAGGGCGGGCATTGTTCTGCAGAGAACCGGTGGCAGGTGCAGGGCCGGGGCTTGGCCGTTACCACTCGTCCCTGCTCAGCTGCACGGACTTTGGGCCACAAGATGGGCTCCCTCCTTGACAAGGGTCGCAGCCTGACTCCGCCGCTCACGGCGGCCTGAGCATCCTGCTCTGCCCACTGACAACGGTCTCGGGACAGGCTCCCCCCCCCCCCCCCCAGGAGCCTGCATCCCGGGTCGGACACAGCCTTTTCTTCCTGTGCCCCCAGAGGGCACTGCCAACTCCAGGACGGGCTGCACCATATACTTCCGCCTGTTGGCTCTATGTTCTTTCCTGAACTGACTGTCCATCTTCCCCCAAGTGTTCCCGCTACGGAAACAGGCCACGCCTCCTGCAGCTCGGGCCCCGCCCTTGCCTACCTTGGTTTCTGGAGCACTTCCGGTCGGTAACTTGGGTCAGGGGGCCCCGGCCCAGGACCAGGGCTTGCCCGCCCGCGGGCAGGAAGATGGGGGGCACTCCCCCAGGGGGGCTCTCCAGCCACAGGCGGCCCCTGGCTTCCATCCCGGCCATCCTGGGCGCCGGCCTAAGGGCAAATGGGTGGAGGTTTGGGTGGCAGGTCGCCTCCAGTTGCTACAGGAAGTCCCGCCTCCTCTCGTCCCTCCACCGGGAATTCCCTGCAGCCGCTGAAGCTCTGGAAATCCGACCCGCTCGCTGGCCAGGGCTCGCGCCGTCTCCCAGGGGACGCCCGGGTGGTCCTCGGGGA